TTTTATTTATTTATTTATTTTGGTACTGGGGATCAAACTCAAATCCTTGTGCTTGCGAGGCAGGCGGCGGAACCACTGAGTTAAATCCCTGGCCTCTGAAGCTGGTTCTTTTAAAAGAAGCTACAGTTTTTTTTTTTTTGGTACCGCAGATCGAACTTAGGACCTTACACTTGCAAGGCAGGCAGTGGAATCACTGAGCTAAATCCCCAGCCCAAAGCCTACATTCTTTTAATTCTTTTCATTAAATATCTGGAGCACTTCTGAAAGTTTATTTTTCAAGTAGATAGCTAAAATTCAGTCAGTCTCATACTGAGAATAACCTTATTTATGTTTTCCTGTTCTGTTCTCATTTTGATACTCTTTTCATCCAGTTAAGTCTCTTTTTTCTTTGAAGCAATAAAAATCTTTAGGTTATAAAGACTTTCTCCAGAGAGCTGGCAATTAAAGCTATACCTTTCTCATGACGAGATCCATATTGGTTATGTGTGTTAGACAGTATATTTCTTTTAAATCAGCAAATCTTACTCATTTTGTGATCTTTGGAATACGGAAAATGAGATTTTAAAATTTGTTCCATTTGGTTTTATAAATACATCATTTCTCTTGATTCAAGCTTTCTAGAAGAATAAATCCCATTTGAATTATCTACCAAACTTAAAAATTAAGGTAGTTATTAGCTATTATTGTTATCTTTCTGTGAAAGTGATCAAAATTTCATAAGGAAACTTAGAGCTAATGTGCTATGTAAGAAAATATATTTAGAAATACTAGTTTAGGGCCAGGGATTTAGCTCAGTGGTTTTGCCGCCTGCTGCGCAAGCGCAAGGACCCAAGTTCGATCCCTGGTACCAAAAAAAAAAAGAAATACTAGTTTAAAAAAACTGCCCCCAATTTTAACTCATACAGAACTCTCTGAAATTTTGTTATTTTATCAGTATGCTTCTATAAATGTTAAATTTAAAAATCAAGATATATATGGTCACTTTTAAAGAAAGATGGAATTGTTTAAAGGAGGTACAGTATCCTTTTTATGTGTGTGGTACTCAGGATTGAACCTAGGGCCTTTGCACTGAGCTACATTTCCAACCCCCATCCACTCTTTATTTTGGAGACAGGGCCTAAAATGCCTAGGCTGGGCTTGAATTTGTGATCCTCCTACCTCAGCCTAGGAGGTGTACCACTATACCCAAGGAAGGAAGGTATACTTTGTTTACATGAAGATATTTAAGCATATGCCTAAGAAAACTAAGATCGAAGTTAATTGTCAACCATGTGGGTTAAGAATCTGCTTTAGACTTGATATGTTAGAGGATGGTGAGTCGTTAGTGGTTATGGTTTACTATTTAATGAAACAATACTTGGTTTTAAACGAGTATAGCTATATTGAGAATTAACATTGGAATCTATACTGATCACCAGGTTCTGGACTTCAGTTCTGTCATCTTAAGTAGTCTGTCTTAAAGTGGGGCATTACATCAGTTTGTCTCATTTCTCATTTGCTGAAATATTTTTCTTTTAAAAGGAGAGTTGGTTTATATCCTGAGGAAATTATTTGACCAAATAATTAACAAGCAATAGATACTGTTGATTGTTCTATTTCTTCGTGTGAAGTTTTTCTAGGACTAATTTTCCCCAGCATTTATTTGCTCTGTGGCTTCTTTTGGCTGCTTTATTAGAACAAAGGCTAACTCCTTTGTCTCATTCTTACTTCCTTTGAGTTAAAAAAAAACAAACAAAGAAATTCAGTTTATATTGCCATGTAGAGCTTTCAATGATACAAATAGCCTGCTACAGCCTGCATGCCATAGGTTCACCACCACTGACAGTTTTGTTGCAAGTTGTTTAGAGAACGTTATATAACATTAAAAGCAGACTGCTTTAGGGCTGGGGATTTAGCTCAGTGGTTTCGCTGCCTGCTGCGCAAGTGCAAAGACCTGAGTTCAATCCCGGGGACCAAAAAAAAAAAAAAGCAGACTCCTTTAGACTTCTTAACACAAACCCACAAGGCAAGAAGAGCATGGAGTGACATATTTCAAGCCCTAAAGGAAAACAACCTCCAACCCAGATTGATGTACTCTGGAAAACTATCTTTCCAAATTGATGGAGAAATAAGATACTTTCAAGACAAAGAACACCTTAGGAACTTCAAGAATACCAAACTAGTACTCCAAAAGATTTTAAACAATATCCTGGGAAAAGACAATGAGGATCACAACCCCAGGAAGCCCAGCAGAATGGATCCATCAGGCAGGACAAGAAATTAAATGCAAAGAGGGAGAATCCAACAAAAAGTAAAAGTCATGATAAGGATAAGTCAATACATATCAGTTATAAACATCAATGTTAATGGTCTCAGTTCACCAATCAAAAGAAATAAAGACTGGCAGAATGGGTCAAGAAGCAAGATCCAACAGTATGCTCCATATAAGAAACAAACTTAATTCAAAAAGAAATTCATAGACTGAAAGATAAAGGGTGGGAAACAATACTCTGTGTGACAGGAACCCAAAAAAAAGCAAGGGTAGCTATCCTCTTTGCAGATCAAAGTGGATTTCAAACCCACACTGATTAAGAGAGACAAAGAAGGACATGACATCCTTGTGAAGGGAACAATCCAAGAGGAAGAGATGACAATCATAAATATCTATGCACCAAACACTAGTGTACCCAACTATATAAAATAAATACTAACGGACATGAAAAATCATATAAGCACTAATACAATTGTAGTGGGGGACCTTAATACCCCACTGTCACAAACAGATCAACTAGACAAAAAAAATAACGAAATATTAGAACTCAATGAAACTCTTGAACAAATGAACTTAACAGATGTTTACAGAGTGTTCCACCCCACCAAATCAGAATACACATTCTTTTCAGCTGCACACGGGTCATTCTCTAAAAGAGACCACATACTTGCTCATAGAATATATTTAAGTAAGTGCAAAGGAATTGAAGTTATCACCTGTATATTATTGGACCATACTGGAATGAAATTGGAGATCAACAGCAAAAGAAACTGCAAGAATTTCATAAACACATGGAAGCTGCACAACACACTTTTGAATAACCAGTGGGTCACAGAGGAATTTAAAGATGAAATCAGACAGTTCCTACAATTACATGACAATGCCAGTACAACGTATTGGAATCTATGAAAGCAGCCTTATGAGGGAAATCCATAGCAGTGAGTGGTTCCACTGCCTGCCTCACAAGTGCAAGGACCCTAGTTCGATCCCCAGTACCAAAATAAATAAATAATAATAATAATTAGTTCGGGCCAGGGATTTGGTTCAGTGGTTCCGCCACCTGCCTTGCAAGCACAAAGTCCCGAGTTTGATCCTCAGTACCAAATAAAAAGAAACTCATAGCAGTGAATACGCACACTAAGAAAACAGAACAAGCTCAGTTATACAAGCTGAACCTCAAGCTTCTAGAAAAAGAAGAGCAGGACAAACCCAAGGGAGGAAATTATAAAGATCAGGGCAGAAATCGATGCAGTGGAGACTTAAGAGAACAATACAAAAAGAAATCAATGAAGCCAAGAGTTAGTTCTTCAAAAGAATAAATAAAATTGACAAACGTTTAGTCAACCTTATCAGAAAAAGGAAAGAAAAGGCCCAAAACCATGCAATTAGGAATGAAAAGGGTGAAATTACAACCGACCCAGCAGAAATCTAGAGGATCAAGACCTACTTTGAGAACCTATTTGCCAATAAGATGGAAAATACTGAAGAAATGGACAGATTCCAAGATATGTGTGAATTACCAGAGTTGAACATGAAGACCTTAAAATTGTAAACGACCCAATATTAATGAAATTGAAAATGTAGTTAAAAACTTACCAACTAAGAAAAGCCCTGGTCCTGATGGCTTCACTGCTGAATTCTGCAAAACATTTAGAGAGGAACTACTGCCACTACTTTTTAAACTCTTCAAAGAAATTGAAAGGGAAGCAATACTCCTGAATTCATTCCTGGAAGCAAGCATCACCTTGATCCCCAAAGCAGAGAAAGACCCAACCGAAAAAGAGAACTATAGGCCAATCTCACCAGTGAACATAAATGCAAAAATCCTTACTAAGATACTGGCAAATAGAATGCAGAAGAGCATCAAGAAGATCATATACCTTGACCGAGTGGGATTCATCCCAGGGATGCAGGGATGGTTCAACATATGCAAATCAATCAGTGTAATACACTATATCAATAGAGCCAAGGACAAAAACCATATGATCATCTCAATAGATGCAGAAAAAGCATTTGACAGAATCCAACACGCGTTTATGGTAAAAACCCTACAAAAAATCGGAATAGACAGTCTCAACCTCAATCTGATAAAAGCCCTCTATGAAAAACCAACAGCCAATATCATACTAAATGGTCAAAAACTGAAATCTTTCACACTAAAATCAGGAACAAGACAAGGGTGTCCACTATCACCACTCTTGTTCAATATAGGAATCAGGTGGCTGCCTGTCTGCAGTGGTGTGATTCGGTGTCTTCCGCATGACTCAGGACCTCCGTAGGGCGTGCACAGACCTGCCTGTCTGCAGCGGGCTGATTCGGCGTGTGTTCCGTACGACTGGGGACCTCGGCAGGGTGTGGGCAGACCTGCCTGTCTGCAGCGGGGTGATTCGGCGTCTTCCGCGTGACTCCAGTCCTCACTTTTGACAGGAGCCAATACTACTCTTTCTTGATACAGTGAACTGCCTTTTGCAAAAGTTTTTTTGTATTTATTGACCTCTAAATCCACAGATTTAATTTCTATATAGGCAGTGCTCGCTTCGGCAGAACATATACTAATTTCTATGTAGGCATATAAAGTAGGGATCATTTCTAAATGTACAAATGTTTGCTAGTTTTTGTAATACTAGTTTATAGAGACTTGTGTACTCTACAGTATTGAGTTGCAAGTGATCTTTTCACCAGCCTTACTGAATCAGTTTTTATGCAGGGCATGTTTATTTTGTGTTTAGCTGGAGAAGTAACTGGATACTTGCAAAGTTCAGCTGGTACCTGTGCACAAAGTTCAGCACCTATACTGATAGCAGCACCACGCTTGGTACTGGTGAGTTTAAGCCAGCCGAGCTGACTGGTTGCTTCAGTGGTGTATATTTTGTACATGTTGTTGGGCTCCAGCCATTTTACAGAAGTAGATGCTGATGTCAGAAACTCAGCTTAGTATACTTTGAGCACTGTTTAACATTTAAAAATTTTCTCCAGTGAAAGCATATTTGGTTCTGCCCCCCATAGTTAGCTTAGAAAAGATGTGATCTAAAATTCTGAAGATATTGCATTCCTATTTAATCATGCTGTTTCCCAAAACATTTTTTTGTTCATTATCTTGTGAATACATTTACTGTCCCCTATAAGAAGACATCTCAAGAGGAATTTCACAACGAAAGAAAAAGAGCACATTATGTTTTCCTTGTGAAGAACTCCTTATTTCTATTCCCAAATGTAGCTCTTGTGGCCCTCATTAGTTCTCATTGCTCCTATTTTCTGAATCTTAATAAGTCCTGTCCTCGGGCCGGGATTTAGCTCAGTGGTTTCGCCGCCTGCTGCGCAAGCGCACGGACCGGAGTTTAATCCCCAGTACCAAAAAAACAAACAAAACCTAGTAAGTCCTGTCCTGTCCTGTCTTTCTCTGCTTTCCTTTTCTGTGTTCTTGTAAGTAAGACTGAAGAGAAGAACATTAGTTGTTCCATAAAAAGAAGGATGAAATCACAACCAGATGCAAGATTAGTCAGTTTTGTCTGCCCAGTTTTACTGAGAGCTACCTCTGGGGAAAGCAAAGGGACTTTTCTATGGTGAGTAGTATCATTTCATCTGTATAGTCTCTTTTATATGGTACATGGACAAAACCACAAGTTTTTTAAGTTTATGGAAATGTCAATTTTTAAAAGTCTGAGAAATTATTAAAATAGAGGGAATAGTAGAGATACAACTAAGAGAAGATATTGGAAAAGAACCAAGAGAATAGGTGGCTATACAGCTGAACACAGGAAAAACTGTATTAGTCTTATAAATAGTGCTTCTGTAGATTATATTTTTGTTCATTGTTCATCATTTATTTACACGTCTAGTCTTCACTTAATCTTAAATGTGTTCTGCAATAATGGTTTGTGTTTGGTACTAGGGTTGTAAGAGACACATCATTTTTTCAAACCCAAAGATTTGCAATGGAAGCAGATAATCATTCTAGCAAAACTGTGATATTCAAAGATGTAATACTGTCTTTTTCTTTGTGTTTTCCCTTAGAATGCTGAGTTTAATAAAACAGATTTTTAGATGTTTGCATTCTCTCCTATCTTGGCTCAAGTCATTACCTAATCTACTGGTTTCTTTACTTTTAGTGGAGAAGTTATAGAGTACCCTGGATGTGCAAAAATTTTAGTAGACAGTAGAAACAGGTTTGGATAGGTACTCTTACCTTCTAAAGCACCCATTTTATTTTATTTATTTATTTTTGGTACTGGGGATTGAACTTGGGACTTTGTCCTTGCGAAGCAGGGCCAGTGCCACTGAGCTAATTCCCTGGCCCTAAAGCACCCATTGAAGACAGAAGGCTAAGATATTATTTGGCTGGAGATTATCCTGCAAGCTAGTAATTTCAGTGAAAATTTGTTTTCTTATAAAAAAAATGAACAAGCGCAAGGACCCAAGTTCAATCCCCGGTACCAAAAAAAAAAAAATGAAGATGAGTCCAGTGATAGACTTGCATTTGAAATTATAAATTGAGCAGTGTAATACATTTTAGCAGCCCTGTACTTATACTGCAATTTTTTGTTGTTTTTTGAGGCAGGGTCTTACTGTATATATATAGTTAAAGCTGGCCTTGAAGTTGTGGTGATCCTCTTACCTCAGCCTCCTAAGTGCTGGGATTACAGGTGTGTGTCACTACACCTGGCTTGATACTGCAATCTTGAGTGAACAATAAAAATATTTTAGAAGTGGCTGGCAGTAAAGGTCATAAAATACAAATGATAATGAAAGTGGTACTCTGATACTTGAGAAAATATGCCAGCTTGTTATTTATGTGGCAGAGCACTATATTTTATTTCTCTGTACCTACGTATGGAGGACATATTACCCAAAAATAAATTCATTAACTATAATTGGTTAATGCAAATCTGCATTTGTGGGATGCTTTGAGGTGACACCATAGTCCTTTCTGTGAGGGAAATGTTATATATAGATAGATTGCTGTATGTTTTTACTTACTATTTCTACAATATTTTTTTTTTTTGGTACCGGGGATCGAACTTGGGTCCTTGCACTTGCGCAGGAGGCGGCGAAACCACTGAGCTAAACCCCCGGCCCTCTACAGTATTTTTTTAGAGCAAGAATTCCAAGTAAATTGCTTGAGCTTAATTTCAAATTAATTCTTATTTTCAGAATGTGAACAAATACTCTTTTTCCGAGGGTGAACAATGGAATACTATAAGTAAATTTCGTTAATCAGCTTGTATTTCACATTCTCAGATCCAGTGAGAGCATAAATGTGACTTTTAGAAGTAATGTCTAATTCTTGCGTGTTTAATTCTAACTTCCTTCTTCTGATCAAATTCCAGGCTGCCAGGATATTGCAGATGAGTTCAGAGCACAAGAGATTGATGGACAGGCCCTTCTCTTGCTAAAAGAAGACCATCTCATGAGTGCAATGAATATTAAGTTAGGTCCAGCTCTAAAGATCTGTGCACGCATCAACTCTCTGAAGGAGTCTTAACAGGCACATGGGCCTTTGATAAAACACCAGTTTTATTCTTCTTAAACAGACTTGTAAGGTAAAGGCCTAATTTGGCCTAAAATACTACATTTATTATGATGGATGGCCAAGCACATTGAGATCTCTGCATCAAATGCTGACATTTCTTCTACAGATGTAATCATTGTACATTTTCATAATTAGTCAACATTGGTGAAATTAATTTTATAGGTTACATGCAACATTGAAAGACTTGTTATAGAGGGCCATGGTATTTTTCAAAGAAACATGTTATACTAGATAATTTTTTTAGAAGTGATTTTATCATAATATAAAGAATCCTTTTAAATGTAATTTGATGATTTACATTTTTTTAATTTAGTTTTCTTATACTTCTTTGTACCCTATTAATTTTCTACAAATTGTCATAAAGATACTGAATAATTTAGGAGTCCAATAATGGAATCATACATAATGAAACATCAGTTTGAATTTTAAAAATCGTATCTTTCAGACAAATACTTTGTCTCTAAGAAAATATTGTATACTAGCATGAATAATACTGATCTAGAGATCAAGAGTTGGTTTCTGTTTCAGACTTAAAGCAGAGTTCTTAATGGAAGACAGTTTTGCTCTCCAGAAGACATTTAGAAATATTTTGGTTGTCACAGCTTGAGGTTGCTCTTGCTATCTAGTAGGAGGAAGCCAGAGACATTCTTAAATAACCCACAATGTACAGGACAGCCCTCCATTATAAGGAATTGTCTGATCCAAAATGCCAACAGTGCCAAGGTTGAAAAACCCTGATGAGGAAGGAGTGATAAATGTTGCTCTTTTTCACCCAAAGGGAGTTTTAAAAGATGGGGCATAATAAGGAATACATATACAATGGTAGTATTATTTAGATAGTATTAATGTTCTGAAGTATTTTTCCAAATTTATTATGTACACACAAAGGAGGGAAAACATAAAATTGGCTTAAAAATAAAGACTAGCTTATAAATAATTTGACCCTCAGATACTACTGATTCATATTATCTTGCTTATCTCTGTGCTCCTTTGCACTGAAGAAGGCATAATACAATTACACTGATAATTCATTACATCTTTTTCTGGCCAGAAAACTTTGCAGTGGATGCGTGATTGATCTTTGGATATTTTTTTCTAATATTGAATATGCTGAGTCTAGCTAGCATGCACATTCCTTTTTCCTTTACTAAATCTTTGCATGCTTCCTGCAAAGCACTTACCGAGTGATTTCTCTTGGATAATCATATCTAATTTTTAAAAATTTTTATTTCACTGAACAGTTTTCTGTAGAGTTGGGACACTAAAACAAAATCATGGGAGTATGAGAGCTTTACAGTTCTGGACATCAAAAGTTTTTAAGGGCCTGGAGATTTAGCTCAGCTCAGTGGTTCCACTGCCTGTCTCGCAAGCGCAAGGACCCAAGTTCGATCCCTGGTACCAAAAAAAAAAAAGCTTTTAAGAAGATTATGAAGGTTTTGTTTTAATCATTTCTTGTATCTTTACGATTGAAATATTTTAATAATTGAAGGGACACACACTGATATTTGGCCACAGGAACTAAGTAAGTGAAGACAAAACGAGTCCATGAGTTTTAGTCATTTTTCACTGTTCTTTTCTAAAAGATTTTGTTGAGCTAGTACAAAATTAAAGATGTCACTGGGCCGGGGATTTAGCTCAGTGGTTCCGCTGCCTGCCTCGCAAGCACAAGGTCCCGAGTTCGATATCCGGTACCAAAAAAAAAGAAAAGATGTCACTAAAGACATCACAGATATTTATCTTTCAGCTTTGTGTACATTAGAAAATGTTGATTATTTTTATACAAAAATACAGCGGGTAATTTTTTTAATCTTTAGATGCCTCTTGTTTGAATGTATGCTTTGTGGGATTCTTTGTGTAGTAACGTTTTTAAAATGATGTTTATTGATAGTCATGTGTAGGATTAGAATGTGTAATGTAATATAAGGCTCATGTTCCAGACCCACAATAGCTTGTAGTCTATGTTATATATTTCTTTGTATCACATTTTTAATTACTGGATTAAAGTTTCAAGGAAAGGTAGTACTCTATAATCAGTTTTCATTCATTAGTAGTTAATCATGATGGAATTGCCATATGCTTTTCCTCTCACCTTGCAATTTCAGAATATATAGGCTAAGCAGTTGTAAGAGATTACCCACTAGATGTGAAGGAAGGAGGCACAGAGGAAAATCTCCCTTGAAATGAAAACTTTATTGTAGGTAAAACTGATTATTCAGGGATAGCCTCCCCTAGCAATAATGATTCTCTCTCTTTACTGTTTTATCTATAGCCTTTAAGGTGTTAACTTTGAATTATGTTCTAAGTTTTCTTTTTATCAGCTTCCTGTACTAATATCAGTTTTTCTGTACTTAAGCCCCTGTGCCAAGCACTGTGTTAAGTATTTAGAAGATGATCATAAGAAGGATTTCTACTGGAGAACACCTTGAACTCCTAAATCTTAAAACTCGTCCGATCTTCTGTTGTCCCCACTCATAACATACTTAGAAAATACACTTGGTTTCACATCATTTCTTTTGAGGAAGTGGTTCATTTACCATCTACTGATAGTTCTAACATTGATGCACCTATATCTGTCTAGATGATGTAATTACCTTAATTTCAAAGCTTCAGTTACATGTAATGGAACACTGGCTGTCCACCTCTGAGCTTTGAGCCATTTCAATGTGATATAGGTAGGGAGAGTGCTACTATTTCATTTCCTTCCATTTTACTGTTTTAGGACTTTGGGGGAAAAAAGAATGACAAGCAGATAGGAAACATGGGAGGTTTTCCTATTTCTGCTACCTATATATTTGCATTTCCTCACTTTAAACTGTTGCACTCTTTTCCCATTGGGGAGAAAACCACAATTTTTATTTGCTTTAAGCTTTGTATTCCTAGGAAAGTAAATAAGCTGTGAGAACTGGTTTGTAAAAGTATTTTTGTATGACATTACTGTTTATCAACCCTTGCATAGTCATGTGTAAGACACAGCTAAGGCAGCTCTAATATAATCAGTTTAGCATGGGACAGACTGTCCCCAAACCTGTCATCTTTCTAGTGGCATATAACTCTTTGAAATTTGTTGTGGAATCCTCTAAACAGAATTTTTTTTTAAGTCTCCATTGAAGGGCCATCACTGAGGAACAGAGAAGGTAGAACATGAGGAAAGAAATGTTAGTGCTTGACTTGAGAATGGGAATGAGGCAGACAAGGAGACCTGCAACTTGTTTAGCTCACTTCAGCACTGAAAAACTTTCTGCACTTTTGATTTTAATATTCACATTTTACCTATCTTAAAATAGAAATGATTTTTTTTTTAGGTTATCCCACTGTTTATTTTTGCTTTCTGGTGTATTGAAATACTCATGACTTTTTTTTTTTTTGTACCAGGGATTGAACTCAGGACTTTGTGCCTGCAAGGCAGGCATGGTGCCATTGAGCTAAATCCCCAGCAACACTCATTAACTTGTATGAAACAAGTATTGTGACCATGGTTTGAAGAATTTTTTTTTTTTTTTGGTACCGGGAATCGAACTTGGGTCCTTGGTCTTGCGCAGTAGGCGGCGAAACCACTGAGCTAAATCCCCGGCCCTGGTTTGAATAATTTTTGACATTCTATCTTCATATATTAAGTATAGAATTGCAAATCAGACATCTATTCAGAATACAACCCGTGGACTGAAATTTGTCATAGTGCCCCCTCTCTCACTGGCTTGTTCAATTACATTTTTTTTTTTTTTTGGTACCGGGGATCAAACTTGGGTCCTTGCGCTTGCGAGGCAAGCGGCAGAACCACTGAGCTAAATCCTCGGCCTCAGTTACATATTTTAAAGTCCAGTGTTTACATTTGCAGGATTTTGGTACCACCATGCCACAGGTATATTAGGGATGCAATAGAGTCACATAGTCTTAGGCTGTGTTTTCATGTGTTTAAACAATCTTGGAAAGAATAAACTATTATAGATACATGTTAATGAACCTGACCTTAGAGCTCTGTCCAGTAGATAAATCTCTGACTTGGAAACACTGCTAAAATGTTTTAGATATATTTTCAACCAGAATAGCCTGGTTCTAATTTGAAGACGCTCATTCTTGATGAATGACAGAAACACATGCTGCGCACTGGCACTGTGTTAGCTAATGGCATTAAAGGGTCCCACCTCACTTCCTCCTATAAAGTTGCTTTCAGCTCCCAGAGCTGCATGAATGAAAACTTTTCTTTGGGAGACTTTTATCTGAAAAATCCTGGAGATTTTGTAATGAGGCTAATTTTAAGGAGGGAAGCAGCCTTGGCACCTTTTCTAAAATGGTGTCTAGCAGTCACGTTTCAGTGAAATCTTTGGGTAGTAGAAACTGGCCCAGCTATGTACATGTTTGCTCAGTCTGTTTCTGGTGTACCATGTATGTAACTAGCTCTGTCCTTTAGAAGGATTTCTGGGAGGGAAAGTGGGAATTGGAGGAGACATATAGGAAGACAAAAAGTATTCCAGACCCAAGATGATAGCACAATTAAGTGAAATCATGTAGTATAGATATGACTTTCATCAGCAGTTCAAAATAATTGTAATTGTTGGGTTCCCATTATGGTAATGCACAAGTTTAGGGTCTTTTGTCTGTTTGGTGGTGCTGGGGATTGAGCGCAGGATCTCTCAACCCCTAAATTATGTTCCCAACTCCTATAATTTGTCAAGATTTACCTGAATAAAATTTGTTTAAAATTTGGTAATTACTTTGCCAATTAACCCTGACCTTAGGAACACAGATATTAATAGTACCAGTGACACATAAGTTAGTGATTTTTTAATTTTTGAAGATGACAGCTATTACAATTGGAGAATAATTTGTCAAAAATTCAAAGGCTCTTATGTCCAAAATTATAGAGAATAGTTTCTATTTTCAGGTCCCACATTTGAACCAACTATTATAAAGAAAGATTAGGTTGTGTCTCAGTTTGAGGATTGGGTGACTAAGAGCTATAGGGTTTCTCTTTACTAGTCCCAATTTCAGAAAACACAAACATACCTCTATTTCTTAGGTGCAAAGCAGTATGGATCATACCATGAATGATGTAACCTACATTCATTAATACTGGTATTTTGTAAATCTAGAGTATTCAATTTCATCTCAAAGACTGTGATTCAATTTAGATAAGCACAAATACAGTATTAGGAAGTCAATATACCATCTTACTAAAACTTAAACCTGTGAAGCTGTACATCTTTAAAAAACTGGGGAGCATACCTTTTGTTAGAAATTCGTATAATGTATCACTGTATGAATTCCTTCATAACAGCAATACAAGCCATTTTTTCAAAAGTTTATTACATTACTGTTTTTGGAAAAAGTTTCCAAAGTTTTGCACTTTTTAGCACATATTTAACTTTAGAATCACACCATGACAAAGCTGTTTTGTAAGGCACTGATGTAATTACCATCACATTCCAGAGGAAACCATCTGGCGAGTCCATGCCCTCCCTTCTGTGTCTTCAAGGCAGCTTCCCTGTGCAGGGCCTTTGTTGTGGTTGTCTTTAAAATATTCACTTTGAGTTTTTTAAAAAATGAGTAAATAATCTCTGTCAGTTGTACCAGGTAGTCTCATTGAATTAACATGATGAGTGAAGACACATCACACTGGGCTGGAGACTGGATCTTCACCTCATTTCGTTGGTTAATTAGTTGTGTGACACCTTGGGCGATTATGTAATCTTCTGAACATACAGTATTGTGCCTGCACTACTCAAAATGTGCATTTTGGCTTAAAGCATCTTGGTCTCTCCCAGTTCTGCAGTTGTGATGCTAGGCCACATAATGGAGTTTTTTAAAAGCTGCATCTACTCTTCTCTTTTGCTTTTTAATGGTTTTATACTTAAGAGCTTTTGCTAAAAAATTATTAAGCATCCATTTCCTGGGTCACTTTATAGTATTTATTCTCTTAAGGATTGAGGTAGAAAATTCACACAGATAAGCAAATGATAACCTTTTTCTAAATGCTACCTGTTGGTTAACCATGGAACACATGAACATGAGTATTGTTATAGTTAGATATCCATTTAACAAATAATTTGAATGCTCATATCATGTGTGGTATATATGATTAAGAAACTAACAAGTAAAGTCATCCCAAACAAAATTCATTTTAGCTTAAACATAATACTATGTACAGACTAATTTGGAACTGAGAAGGAATGTTTTATTGCATTAGGTAAAGAATTAGACCAGATGACAGTCAAAGGGTCTGAATCACACCCTAATTCCTGTAACACATTTCATATACTACACATCAATAGACCATATTCTTGATAGATTACAAAATTAAGATCACTTAACATTAATAACTTACATTTTGAAACTCTTGAGAGAGCCAATATTTCATAGCATTATTTTGACCCTTGAGTATGTTTCAGCGTTGTTGATATGCAGGGTGTGTGACAGGACAAAAAAAGTTGACATTGATTTATTGTACATTTTTAACTGCAAAAGCTTTAACCATTATTGGCAGTGTAGCAGTTTTTAGAATGTATACTGCCAAAGCGAGCATAAGTGTAGGCAATTTTTGAAAACTGAAAAATCTCAAAGGAAATCACTAGAACAGGCCTTTTGTGTGATTACACAAAAATTTTATATTTTAAGATCACCACCTTTTAAAGCTATGTAAGAATCAATTATAGTACGTATTGCATAATACAAGGGTGCCCTTTAAAATGCAGAACTGTTAAAACCATTGCTTGAATTCACAAGTATTCAGAGAGTAAACATTGAAAGGGAGAATCAGTTATTAATGGGGTAAAATTCCTTTGTCACTCTAGGATTCAAAACCACATTGTAATTTCTAGCTTTAAATATTAATATCGGTTGATACTAACATTCATGAAAATATATTTAAAAACTTTTACATTCATAGTTGCAGTTGAAGCAGGAAAATATCCAAATAAGTGGGATTAGAATCTAGACTCTTTCAAACCAATTGAAACAGGAACACTGACATCTAAATTGCCAGACAACCTAGGTTTTATAAATTGTTCTGTGGTACTGGTTAAAAATTATTTTTAATGTTTTAATTAAGTTATACTTGTTTTTTCACATATTTTATTCAAATTATGCTGTTAAAATATCTATTGCATATTATGCTGTTAAAATATCTATTGCATATTTTTTGTATATGTGTTCTTAAATTTTGAAGTCAGTTGAGTACAAAGGTGGTAATTTTGGACATATAATTTCCAGGTTGTTTGACTAGATTCCTAGTCGCTTCATTTAAATGATTTGTCTTGTTTTTTCCATAAGAGGAAAAAGAGTGAGTTCCAAAACCTATCCTCAAGGTAAGGATTATGCCTGTAGTGAAGATTGGCTATTGTGGACAGCAGTGTACAGGGACAGATATTGACAGTAGTGAATTGCGGCATGATAAAAAATTAGTGAATTTTTTCTTTTAAATTTGTTAAAGACACATTGCCATTAATCCCCCTCAGAATACTCCTCACTTCAAACATACTTATCCCATCATTCTTGCCACTTTCTGAAGCAGTTTGGAAGTCCTGTCATGAGTGTTTTTAGTTGCATTGTTATGGCTGCCTCTGACTCAATTAAAAATGTTTACTTCTCATGTTCATTTTGACTTTGGGAAACAGCCATTAAGTTGCATGATGCCAAATCTGGTGAATGAGGACATACCACAATGTTTTTACCAGCCTGACACTGTTGGATAGCACTCAGTGGCATCATTCACCTTATTTTTAATAACACCTCATAAGACACAAAAGAGAACTTCCTAAACTGCTTCAGAAAGTAGCAAGAATGCTGGGGTAAGTGGGTTTGAAGCAAAGGGGAGTAGTTTGAGGGGGATTAATGGCAAGGATATTTACTATAATAAATATTTCAAAATTTAAATATTCACCATATATTTCAATCACACCTTGTATTTAAGCCTTAAATTAGAAATTTTCTTTTTGCTTTAAAAACTTCTGTAGTTGTTAACAAAGGCAAATTGTTGTGGTAAGCTTTTTCAAATTTTTGATGATTCAAGCACATCAATTTTTTTCATTCTTCCTTTTGTTTCCTCCCATTGTTCTAAAATAGAACTTTCAATCCCAGCATTTGAGAGGCTGAGGCGGGAGGATCACCATGCGTTCAAGGCCAGCTTCAGCTACATAGTGAGTTCAAGGCTAGTCTAAATTACATGGTGAGATCTTGACTGTCAACCAATAAATAAATAAGAAAGACTTTCATATTATTAAACCTCAAAAAATGATCCACCCAGGATGAACAAAGAATCACCAAGGGAAAGAACTTTATCTTTACAGGAACCAAAATGTTGAGATTATATAGAGTGTATTCTTTACATTGGCTATTGTATTAGAGTCCTCCTTACAGGAAATGAAATAGTTTTTGCACTCTTAGAATTAGAATTCCTAGACTAGTCTCTGTGGCTAAAGTTTTTAAATGTATAGCCTGAAAATGAAGTTAATTTTGCATTATAAGAGCACACCATGATTTATGTAAAAAGTGTTCATTTGGTGTATTTTTTTAAAAAAGAGAAAGCACTTTCATATTAACAAATAGCATGGTTATGAATTTTAGATTTTCCTATTCGTTGTGTCTATTCAGTGAAGTAAAACAGCATTCAAATGTTTGTTGATGGCAACATTAATTGAAAGCACCTTATGCTCTGCTGCTTAAACTTGCTTGTAATTGCACCTTTGTTACCTGCACATTTTCACACAGAATATTGTTGTAACATTGCTTCACATGGGTCTGGATGGAAGACGAGTGGGCCTACAGGATCATTTATTTATATTGTTTATATACAATAATATATTGTAGACTAGATGTAAGTTCTTTACAAATAAAAGCCTCTTCCATTTGGCTGGTCTGTTGAATTTTTTTTCCTTTTAGGTTTATGAGATGCGCAGAAATTTAAGTAAACAAAAAGCTTAATGAGGGATTTGAAAGTTATAAATTATCCTGACTTAAAATCCACAAAGTGTTAAAGTTGCTACTAATCAAGTTCACTATATTTTAAAATATTCCATTTTCACAGTATGGCCAGTTGGAAGATAAGGCATTCAGAGTAAAGAGTGAAATAAAGGGGGCCAGGTGTAGACCTTCAAAAGGTTTAAACACACCCTGTTGTTCAGTTGACTACAGGTTTACTTCTACTGAACTTTGGACACAGCTGTTTGCTTATTTTATAAAGCAGTGTGATTTCTATTCCTATTTTCTCTGTTTTTTAGTATGTTACTATGCAGTATAGTGGATGCCTCTCTCCCTTGGAGTGTCTTCTTTTATCAGAACCTGCTGTGGCCACCATTTGTCACACCGGTCATTTCCTGGGACTTTGTATCTAAAGCTAAGAGGTGCTGTGAACTGGAATAAAAATGCTGGGCCCTGGGCAGCCAGAAGGCCCACCACGTGGGCAAACAAAAGCTGACATCCTCGAGGTTTTTCTAGAACTCTGTTTTACCACATTGTGTCAGCACTTACCTGAAGTGCTTAATACCATAAATTTTCAGATCTCAAGTTTTCCAGAGTTGAGTATCTGCATAAACTTTACCAACTGAGGACCTCCTATCCAAAAACCTCCAAAATTCAAAACTTTTTAGTGTCAACATTTTAAAAATTTCAAGGGCCTGGGATTTAACTCAGTGGTTCCACCGCCTGCCTCTCAAGCACAAGGACCCGAGTTCGATCTCCGGTACCAAAAAAAAAATTTTTTTTAAATTTCAGATTTCAGAGCATTTTTGATTAGAGATGCTGCTCAACCTACACTTACAACTCAAAGAATTCTTAATTACCCAGCAACATTTTTTGATTTGTCCTAGGTGGCTAGTGCTAACTAAAGAGACTGTGTGCACAAGCAAATGGTTTTCTTCTCTATGGGATCACAAATCCTTAAAATGTTCATGGGGGTTGTGCATTTTTAGGTGAAAAATAGGAAACATTTTTCACATTTGACTGAAACAAACTGTTCTTTCAAAAAACAATGAATGGGATTAATGAAGAGTAGTGTATCACAGTGGTAGAGCATGAACTCTGGAGCCAGACTTCTGAGTTTGAATCTCACCCTTTCTCAACCCTCAGTGACTAGCTATGTAGACTTTTAGTGAGTTTCTTAACTTTGAAGCTTTAATTTCTTTATCTGTAAGAGGAAGGTGATAATAGTATACATGAGAGTTATAAGGATTAAATCAGTAACTATATAAAATACATACAACAGTGCCTACAAATACCTTCCCATGTCTTTGCTATTCTTTGTGCTCCATAGCACTTGCTTTACGACATTTACAAAATAATGGAAATTAATTTATTTGTGGATCATGAACTCAATTTTTGTGGGTCACAAATGACATTATGAATATATCTATATATAACGTGTAGGGACAGGTTATGACATATACACACATAAATAAGCATAACATCATAGTGTAAAAACATTTTACTATAAAGATAAAAGGCACCAGAGATGGGAATGGTGGCACACACCTGTAGTCCCAGCTACTTGGGAAGCTAAGTCAGATCACAAGTTCCAGCCCAACCAAGGCTCAACCAAACCAAGTGAGACCCTGTCTCAAAAAATAAAAAAGGGGCTAGGGATGCAGCTCAGTGTGAAGGCCCTGGGTTCAATCCCCAAAACAAAAACAAAACACCATTTTGAAAGTGCTAGTTTTAGATTTAAACAATATATTTTAGTATCTGTTAAGTGGTGACTAGATCAAAATATCTACATAGCTTGATTCATAAAATGATCAGATCATTCTGCCACTCATTGTTTTACTCCAGTGGTTCTTAACTTGGCCAGTTATGCTCACCCACCAGGTGAGGTTTGATAATGTGTGGAGACATTTTGACTGTCATTGCTGGGGAAGGAGGTGCTACTAGCATCGAGACAAAAGGCAGGGATGTTGGATGTCGCTAGTCACCCTACAGTGCACAGAGCAGCCCCCCACAACAAATAATTAACCAGCCCCTAATCTCAGTCTCACAGCTGAGAAACTGTTTTGCTTTTACAGTGTGATAAAGTACTAGTATGGTTGTGATTTGATAAGCAATTATGTGACATGAAACTAAAAATAAATCCAGTATGTCATGGAAAGATAACCTACTCACTACTCCCATTTCCACAGGGTGAGCAAATGAAACTCTCTTCTTCCACAAATATTTTCATATTTTAGAAAATCAGCTAAATTTTAAATGAGCTAATCTTCCTCTTAAAGTTTATACCACACCATTTTAAGAAAATGGTTTTTATTTTTAAATATGATTAAAATGTTTAAATTCATATTTTAAAGTTGGTGAAATCTCAGATTTATATAACATTTTGTATCCAGTTTTTTTGGGCAACAAAAAACATCAAATGTTGACTTATTTCACTTTTGTATTAATAACAAATTTATTTATATGGTAGTCCTGAATAGGCATAAGAACTTCTTGCTTTTAAAAGAAAACATTTAATAAACGATATCATAAGCCCAAAAGTATGCTGGAAAAGTATAAATGGTTAGAGGGGAAAAAGAGCTTCAATTTTTAATGCTACTTTTTGGTATGTCCTGAGTCACCATTCTTTCCTGTTTCTAAGATCATGATTTTATTGTAATGGGTTTAGTTTTAAGATGGTAACATATTAACAAATTATTATTGATATCGGCTTTTCAATCTGTCCAAAATTATGCATTGTAAGTGGAATGAAGCAGCATTTCCAGTTGACAAATGGATCTATGGGTAATGAGGTATTTTTTAAATAAAGCTTGTGACAATTAAACCAACAAATGGTGGCAATGAGAAAACTATTGACAAAGTACAACCAGGGAATGTTCAACTCAATATATGCAGGAATCTGTACTTTAAGTAAAAGAATGAATACCTGAAGCAGTACAAATGGTAACCAGGTACCAAGAAAACAGACAATGAGCTTGGGCAAGAGTGTTCTTTTAGAGTTTACAGTGTAACTAGGGAGGGATGAGGAAGGAAAATACAAGATAGGCTCATTCATATAGGAAGTTATTTGAATAGCCTGTACCAAGGTAATAACTTCTAACCAAGAGGTTATAAAAGCCATAAATAAAATTATCATCATGGAAAGTGACAGGCAGTAACTCTGAATGCTGACATAGACAGGACATTGGTAAGAAATACTCTGCGCCTTCAGGCTTTGGTAGGTAACTGGTTCTCCCAAAACATAAGCAAGGACTGAAATCCAAATCAAAATTACTGCAAAGAAATAAAACGCCTTCTGACATTTAGATGATAGCTTGGTGAGTTTAGAGAAATTCAGGCAATAATCTATACAAGATACTAATAAGACTGGATAATGCAAAAAGCCATAAGTAAAGGAAATAATTTGCGCAAAGAGACAGATATGGTATTTAGTAAACCTAATACCTAAAAGTACAAAATCCCTGAAATAGGATATAATGGAAATGCTTACCAAAAATAAAAAATCAACAAATGCTAATGAAACACAAAAACATTCCATAAAATTTTGATAGCTGTTTTTTCTTCTCGTTCCTAGTGTGAGGATATTTAGTAATATTTTCCCAAGTACGATCAAGAACAACAGAAAAGTAGCATCTAGAGGCTGATTCGTTTGATGTAACTGGTTCTGAAAAGAGCATCTGTCTGAAGAAAAAGATGTCATATTTTTACATTTCAAGAAGACTTGCTGGAAAATACATGATAAAACACTGCTTCACTTTATTTTCCGTTCCTGCAAAAAAATGAAAAAATCTGATGTTATCTTGATGCCACCTGTTTTACAAAGCATGCACCTCTATTGTCAAAATCTATTTCAGTCATTTCTCACAAATTATATAAATAAAAATTGTATTTCTCATATAGAACATCAAGAATTAATGTATTAAGTACAGAACTCTTAGATTTTTAAACCAAAATGTTATATATGTGACTAATTCCTATGTTAAGTATAAATTTTAACATCTTGAAGAAATATTAATCTACTAAAACCACAACACATGCCTAGAATAATGTCCCATAGTAATACTAAAAACAATCACTGATAGTTTTCAACCCAGTTCCACTTTGACTTTCAACAGTATTACCTACTTTTTGTCTTTTTCCCAGTGAAATTTAGAGGCTATCCTTATGGGTCCTTTAACACATCAGTTTTCAAATTTTTTTAGGTGCACAATCATCATCAAAATGAAATCTTTGAGCCAGATGTGGTGGTGAATGCCTGTAATCCCAGCTCTTGGAAGGCTGAGGCAGGAAGATCGCCAAGAGTTCAAGGCCAGCCTAGGCTATATAGTGAGTTCAAGGCCAGCCTGAACTACATAGTGAGAGCCTGTTTTAAAAAAAAAGGATGAAATCTTTCAAGCTCAGAAATGGAAAATAGGGCCAGGGATTTAGCTCAATGGCACCATGCCTGCCTTGCAAGGACAACGTCCAGGGTTCAATCCCCGTTATCACAAAAAAATAAATAAATAAAAGGAAAATAGATGATTCAGCTGAAAATAACAGAAAAAGGATAAGGATTTACCTTCTGGGTATGATCTTTCAGGTATGGCACCTGAGGGAGACTACAGAGAAAGAAGAAAGACAGCACCTGAAGGAGGGGGTAGGTAAAGGCAAAGGAGCAGGAATTGAGGCTTGAATAATAAAAGCATTTGAAAACAGGGAAAAGGGATTTTGAAAGGAGAGAGGAAGAAGTCAGGAAAAGATGGACAGAGATTCAAGAAATTTTATCCTTTAAAAAAAAAAAAACGGTGTACTCAATGGTATTCCTGTAATACTATTCAATCAGTATAAATCCCCCCCAAAAAACAAAACCTCATAACAAACCTAACCACAAATGTTAACAATTGGAGATGGGTTAAATGAAATACATGGTACATCATTATGATATACTATTATGTAGCTATTAAAAATGTTTCTCAAGATAGGAAGACAGTTTTCTACGGCAAACTGTACTTTTAAAATACTAATTAAAAAAATTTTTTTTTTGGTATTGGGGATCGAACTTAGGACTTTGCGCCTGCAAGTCAGGCAGGCGGTGCACCACTGAGCTAAATCCCCAGGCCAATACTTCTTAAATTTAATCCTTGTGAATTTTTTATATGTTAAAAAATGTCAGCTGGTGATGGTACTCCACACCTGTAAATCCAAGATGCTTTGGAGGCTGAGGCAGGAGGACCACGAGTTTAAGGCCAGCCTGGACAACTTAGTGAGATGCTGTGTCAAAATGAAAAGGGAGGGGATGTAAAGCTGTTGACTAGTATGAGTGAGGCCCTGGCTGTGATGTCTAGTACCAGAAAAAAAATCGATAAATTTGCACAATATGTTAAGTGAAATGTAGGTTATAAAATAAGAACCAAGATGCATTATGTAAAGGTACAATTCCCAATGAGAAATGTAATTGTGTTGTATACCTACAATGTACCAATGAAAGAATTTAATAATAAAAAAAAAATACAAAGGAAAAAAAAATTATACATGGTAAAATTATACTTGGAGGTTTTTCTGCATTTACTATATTTTACAGAAATAAGGAAATACTGCATTTGAAAAGTAAAAATAAATGAATTTTCCTAAAAGTGTGTCACTGATGATTACATAACAGCAAAGGGATAGTGAAGAGAGTGAAAGTAAAGGAATCAGTGAGAGAAGGCTATCAGATTGTTGACAGTGTGGATCCTTATTCTCAAGGGACTATATCCATTCTGTCACAGGGCCAGGGATTTAGCTCTGGTTCTGAGTTCGATCCCCGGTACCAAAAAAAAAAATTCTTGCTCCATTCTGTCATAAATTCAGGAAGGCATTTAGATAATCTGTTTATATACATCTATGTGTAAAGTTATAAAACATGGTATTTCCATAAATATAGATATAAAAGAACCAGTCAAGTATCTTCTTACATTCAAGTTTTTTTTTTCTATACTCACACATACTATAGTTTAACTTGACCTTATCTGAAAAAGTTCCATCACAGGTTTGTGGTACAAGGACACAGAGGCATAGCTGCCAATCTGACGACTGCCAAGTGGTGTGTTGCTTGGAGGAGGCCTAGATGGAATGACCAGATGAGTCCTGTTTGGGCCAAGAAAACAACAGGCTTAGTTTTAAACAAGCTAGTGCTGGTTTAAAGGGGGGGGGGGTGGTCATATTTATAAAAACTCAGTTCTTTTAAGTGTATCTAGGATAAAAGAAGTAAAAAAGGATGACCTGTATCAGATGATTTTATGCTTTACATCTTATAAGCAAAATGAAATGAGTAAGGCTAATTAGACTAACCAGGGGATGATCCCCAAATTTCCATGTCATCCTTGCCTCACATGTGGCATGAACTGGAAGGCCAGAAAAGCTGATTAGTGTCCTGTGGGGGCTTAGAAAGGTCCACAGAGAAGGAAGAGAATCAGCTACAGTCACCAAGGCACTAACCAAGAACCTCTTCAGAAAAGGACTGAATCAAAAGCTTGAAATGCAAGATGTAAGAGAATCATAAAACTTCAAGAAAAAACCCAGGTAAGACAGGCAACTGGTGGCAATTAAAAGGAAGTAGACTGGAAATTTTACAACGGATCCTGAATACCACAATCTTGAAAACCAATCAAAACTTTCTTAGATGAGATTAATTTTATGTATGTACTCTACTCTCAAAAACCATTCAAATTACAGTATTGCAAATTCCAATATTTTGTTCTTTAAACTGGCTCCTAGGTGAAGAGAAAAATCCTCTGATAAGCTATCTGTTCTCAATTTTCCTTGAAAAATGGTCAGAGTAACTAAGAGGATTTAGACATTTATAAAATGTGGTCTTGTTCCTGTATGATTTCTAACTACTTCAGAATCAACTCCTATGACTCACAGGCAACCTAAAAAGTTAATGTAGAAGTCTTTTTCAAGGAATCTGTATTATCCAGGCTTTGCTTTGTGATCTGGCCCAGTTTGAAAGTGTAAGAGGAGCCTGAGCAGCCACAATTTGTTTTCACGGACATAGCCTCTGTTTTCCACTTATAACCCAATTAATTCCTTTTTTAAAAAGCAGTACTGGGGATTGAACTCAAGGAATGCTGAGCTACATCCCCAGCCCTTTTAAAATTTTGAGACAGGGTCTGGCTAAGTTACCCTAGGCTGGCCATGAACTTATGATGCTCTTGCCTCAACTTCCTGAGTGGCTGAGATTATAGGCATGTGCTACCACACCCAGCTATAACCCAACTAATTATTAACAATATATCATACTTACTCTCCAGAGTCTTCCTAACCAGTGATCCTATTTTATTTTGATTTTGCTGCCTTTAATTATGTCACTGTTGGTTCCTTGCGTTTCATTTTGCTATGCCAAAATGCTATGTAAGCTCTGTGTGAAAGACAGAAAACAAAAACAACCATCATTAATAGTCATCTTAGTAAGTGAAGTCCATGCAGTGTTACTGTTTCCAGATCTCTGCTGAGAACTGTAACCTTCTATGGGATTAAAGCCAGTAACTCACTGCTTACATTCTTAATTTCCAGCAAAAGGAAGGCAGAGGATATTTAGATTCAGAGTCCATCAAAGACTGAGCAATGGGTATATAAAATATGAAATCTGTTTAAAGAAATCCTGCTTTACATTGCAGGTTTTACTGCCAGGGTTGAGTGTCTAAACTAGTGGTTTTCAAACTGTTTGGTTTCAAGATCCTTTGACACTTGTCATATGCTAAATAATGTTTTTAAAGAAAAATTACTGTATTTTTCTAATCAAAACATTTTAGTGAAGAGGCCTTGTTTCACATTTTCCAAATTGCCTTAGTGTCTGGCTTAATAGCAGATAGCTAAATTTTCATCTACATTTAAACAGGATATCCCATGCATCATGTAGCTTCTGGAAAGTTCCTCTGCACATTCATGAGAGCTGGGCGGTAAAAAGGGTAACTTCAGATACTTTATAACCAAAACTAGAAAACTGTTGTGCAATCTCATGTGCAGTCTTAGAAAAGTTTGATGAAACCATGTGGACTAAACATGATGGGAAGATGAACATGGCTCACAATAATATTCTGGCCTGTTGTATAGAAAATGGAATTAGTGCTACACCTGTTTTTGTAAGCGTGATGAATGGTAAGAGCCTGTGAAAGAAAAAATTTTTAGTGTTGTTAGGGGTTTCACATACCTTTTATTTAGTCTTTATAACAATCATGAAAAATATATGTTCTCTGTCCTCATGAGCAAACAGCCTTGGAGTTAATAAGCACACTTCCCTAGGTAAGCTTTGGAGTTGAGTTCAACCTCAGGTCTGATTTCAAAGCTCATGTGCTCCAGTAAGCCACAATTATGGCTCAACTCACAAGTGGAAATACAAAAAGGGACCCAATTTACACACTTAAAAGAACTTTCTAAAAAAGCACCATCTCAAATTAGATTGATTGTGTTTATTACTGACATAGGAAACCATGATGAACTATCCATATGGATAATTTTATTCCTCTAAAAGGTAAATATAAACTCTTTAAAATGTGATTGTTTGATATGTATTCAAATTCAGTGAAAAATAAGATACCACTCAACTCTGATAAGGGATAGATATTCTATATTCATTATTCATATAGTATAATTAGATTCGATATATAAAAAGGACTAGGGATGTAACTTAGTGGTACAGCACCCCTGGATTCTATCCCCCTTAGCCCTCCCCCCTATTTACAACATACCTGGAGTTACAGAAGTATGTAGAGTGAAAATTACCCATCTTGTCCACTGCTGTCTAGTCGAGGTTTCTTTCATAGATACAACTACTGAAACCAGTTGACTTGTCTATCTTTCTAGAGATTTTCTAAAGCAAGCTTTTAAAAAATTGAAATTTCCATGTTGTCATGGAAGTTAACATGGGATTCTTGATTTGCCCTCTCCCTAGTATTACTTACATACAGAAAATCTCATAAAGGAGTTGCAAAGGTAGAACACAACAGACAGCCAATGATCTGACAGACAAGTGTCATTTCCAGCAATCCAAACCTAAGATTGTCCATACGGAAGGTCAATGCAGCTGGGCAGAAGTCAGCAAGTAGAGGTTATCTCAAAGTAGGGGAATAGGTGATTTTTACTTTTCTCTTAATGTAGTATTACAGCACTTATGCATACCTGCTATTTTCTGCATCTTGGTCCATGGAGGATTTTGGTTCCCAGATCCTTACAGTTTAGGTGGGCCCATGTGACCAAAGTATGTAAGCAAAGACAAGCCACCTCTCAGTATTCTCTTTCTCTGCCAGAGGGAATAAAGAGAGCACACATTCCAGATGGCACAGCTCAAGCTGGTGGAGCCTGTCAACTTGAGCGACTGTGTGGAGCAAAGGCCCTGAAGGTTCACAACTCATGTATAGTATGAGCAAGAAACAAATCTTTGTTGTGTTAAGCCGATACAATGGCTTTTGTGATTATTATGGCTTATGGTAATATAATTCCTTATTATTCTCTGAATTCTTTGAAATGTTTTATTAACCTCATGTGTTAATAATTCTTTTTTTTTTTTTTTT